ATTAATGAACAATATGGCGGAATGAAGGACTCTACACTTCCTTATGGTTAATGAACAATATGGCGGAATGTAAAAACTACACTTCCTTATGTTTAATGAATAATATGGCGTAATGAAGGACTCTACACTACCTTATGGTTAATGAACAATATGGCCGAATGAAGGACTCTATACTATTTTATGCTTAATGAACATAATGGCTGAATGAAGGACTTTACACTACTTTATGGTTAATGAACAGTATGGCGGAATGTAAAACTACACTTCCTTATGCAAAACTACAATATATAACCTACTTACAAAACACAAAACTACAATATATAATCTACTTACAAAACACAAAACTACAATACATAACTTACTTACAAAACAGAAAAAAATACAGTATAAAACATACTTTCAATACAGAAAAAAGTACTATATAAAATTTACTTACAATACAGAAAAATTACAGTATAAAACCTGTTTACAATACAGAAAAAAAACCTGTTACATAAAACGTACATGGTTTTCTTGTATTCTAAGATGTGTTGTACCTCACTTTAAACAAACTTAAGGTTCATCGCTAAAAACTAATTTCGTCTCTTCAGACCACTCAACTTCAAACTGTAAATCTTTTTTCAAGTAGAAAGGTTTGTTACTAAGCCTTCTCCAAGCAAACACAGCATACCATAAGGTAGTATAGAATCCTTCATTCCGCCATACTGTTCATTAACCATAAAGTAGTGTAAAGTCCTTCATTCAGCCATTCTGTTCACTAAGCATAAAATAGTATAGAGTCCTTCATTCGGCCATATTGTTCATTAACCATAAGGTAGTGTAGAGTCCTTCATTACGCCATATTGTTCTTTAAACATAAGGAAGTGTAATTTTTACATTCCGCCATATTGTTCATTAACCATAAGGAAGTGTAGAGTCCTTCATTCCGCCATATTGGTCATTAAAAAAAACTACAATATATAACCTACTTACAAAACAGAAAAACTACAATATATAACCTACTTACAAAACACTGTTTTATTAGTTCCTATCCTACAGTTTTAATTATTTTAACTCTTATAAATTTCTTGAACACGTAGCGATAAGTGTCATTTTAAATAAATGTTTCTTTTAACCCTTCAAATGTCTAACATTCTAGGCCAATTGTATGTATAAAAAATATAGAACAATGATATCTTAACCTGAAGGATACAAACAAAGTTATAATAAAAGTCTGGGATCAATAAACCTTCGGACTTTCGAGAAGTCATCTTTTAAAGGCCGAAAATGTACTTTTTACTCATTTACTGAAAAAAAAACACATAAAAATACAATTTTAAGTACGTAGTACATGGTTTGTTCTCAAATGTTTTATACAATAAATATATAAATTTCTCATCAGGTTTTGTTATTATTTAGAGCTCAGGACAAATACCTACTCCTTGGAATAGAACGAACGTGATGAGTCTTTACGAGAGTCAGTTCCACCAAGCTGATGACTTTTCAATTCTCAAAAAGGCAGACTCCATTATTCGAAACAATAACGTCAATGGAATAGAGGTAGGTTATAGGTTGGCTGTAAGAAAAGATGCAGCCAAATACATATATTGATAATGACCAGAATAATAAAATATTACTAATGATAATGTAGTCTGTAATTCATTATTATTGGTTAGTCATGATGATACATATAAAACACTGCATTTAAGCTAGAAATAAGAAGTTTATATTAATGTCTATAAACCACTAAAAGCATGTTGATCAAATCGACATATTTTTATCCCAAACTAGAATGAAACACTAATATTTTATAGTAGGAGACATCACAAAGAGCGGAATGTTCTGGTAATAAAAGAACAAGTAAAAAAAGAAAACAAATTATGGTAATAGAAACCAGTACAAATATCAACATGTTCTGGTAATAGGAACAGCATACAACTGAATATGTAGTGTTATCTTACATCATATGTACCGAATCAAGGGTTTAAAACACAGTATTTAGTGTTAGTGATGTTCTACTATATCATGTACCGAATCAACGGTTTACAACAGAGTATTTAGTGTTAGTGTTGTTCTACTATATCATGTACCGAATCAACGGTTTACAACACAGTATTTAGTGTTAGTGATGTTCTACTATATCATGTACCGAATCAAGGGTTTAC